CCCACATCCAACTCTGTGCTGCTGAGGCGGCATTGAATTGGTACCAGTGGATCGATACACCTTTGATCTCTGTCTCTAAGTACACGCACAGAAGGAGAGGTTTGCTCATTAAAAGTCGCCACAAAACAAGAACCAGCACCTGGAAGCTGAAGGTAGGTCCATGCAACTAGAAAGAAGGTGCACAGTTTGATCACTGAGAGAAATGAACCACCTCCCTTCCCAAGGGCTGTGGTGGACTCTCTGATGCTCGAAGTGTTGAAATCAAGATCAGATCATTATCCAGAGTTGTTCTAGTTTCAAACAGCAATCAATGCAGGGCAGCCCTCCCTGGCCTCTGTTACATGGTAGATCAAACAAGGTAGTAAACAGGGGACCCTTTTGCTTGCGTAACCTGTTAATCTGCGAAACGTGCCAAAATCTTGATCAGAACACCCAGGAAACTTCATGCATTATTCTGACGTCTTTCCCCTGAATAATGAACCTCTGATGCACCAAAGGTCATCTGGACAGTGCTCCTGTTGTGAGTTTCTGCTGAGAACCATCAAAACACAAGAAAAGCAAATATCTCACTCCGCTATCTCCTTCGATGTGCCAATCACATCTATGCAGCAAGAGTCTTGTAATATTTTGAAATCAAAAGAGTACTTCTCTTTCTCTCTTTGTTGGCACAGGAGAATAATATTCCTGGTATTGTCAGTGGGAGATGTCTACCTTTAGCAAAAGCAGTCAATGTGCTGTGCTATCCTGTACTATGCTATGCTATACTGTGCTGTGCTGTGCTATACTATACTATGTCCACCCGTAGTGAAAGCAGTAAATGTGCTGTACTGTGCTATACTATGCTATGCTGTGCTGTGCTATGTCCACCTTTAATGAAGGCAGTAAATGTACTTTGCTATGCTATGCTGTGCTGTGCTATATTATACTATACTATGCTATGCTATACTGTGCTGTGCTGTACTATGCTATGACATGCTAAACTGTGCTGTGCTATACTACGCTATGCTGTGCTGTGCTATATTATACTATACTATGCTATGCTATACTGTGCTGTGCTGTACTATGCTATGACATGCTAAACTGTGCTGTGCTATACTACGCTATGCTGTGCTGTGCTATGTCCAGCTTTAATGAAGGCAGTACATGTATTTTGCTATGCTATTCTGTACGGTGCTGTACTATATTATACTATACTATGCTATGCTGTGCTGTGCTGTACTATGCTATGACATGCTATACTGTGCTGTGCTATACTATGCTATGCTGTGCTATGTCCACCTTTAATGAAGGCAGTACATGTATTTTGCTATGCTGTGCTATGCTATACTGTGCTGTACTGTACTATGCTATGCCATACTATACTGTGCTGTGCTATACTATACTACGTCCACCTGTAAATGTGCTGTGCTATACTATGTCATGCTATGCTATACTGTGCTGTGCTGTACTATGCTATGCCATACTATAGGGTGCTGTGTTGTACTATACTATGTCCACCTGTAGTGAAAGCAGTAAATGTGCTGTGCTGTGCCATGCTGTTCTATGCTGTGCTATGTCCACCTTTAATGAAAGCAGTAGATGTACTTTACTATGCTATGCTATCACTAGTGAGAGGATGAAAGAGGTGAATGAACTCAGAGCACTAGTCGCTGAGGGAGAGACCGGGAACAAAGCCGGCAATAAGTTCCTGTAACATTAGTTGCCTGTCAAGGAGATGTGGACACACTGGACTTTTTGGAGATGCCCTCAGGGACGGCACATGTCCCTGAGACAACCAGCAATTATGGAGAACCAGCTGCCCCACCACTGTAACCCCACTGACATCAGTGGAGTGACACCAGCTCGTTGTCTTCGGAGTGACGTCTTTGCAGGGTAGGGGCAGGGGCAGGGAGGGTGCGGTGGGGGGCTCTGAGTTGCGCCGGGAACGGAGAGAACAATTTACAGCTCCGGCTTTGGCCTCTGATCCTGAACCAGTCAATGCGTCGCTGAGCCCGAGTCCTCCCCTCTGGGAAGAGGAGGGTAGTATCCAGTGCGTCATGGGGCCTGACTCAACCGGGGGGTTGCAGAGCCGTGCTCTGAAAGCATCTCAGTAGCCCAACGGGTGGTAGCAAGCAGGAGCTGGGCTCCTCGCCATATGCCCTGAGGGTTGCTTCACCATAAAAACGGTCCTGTCTCCCATAACGCCAAAAGAAACAAACCAATACATAGGAGATGGAGAATCGCCAACAGGTGGAAAATTCCACCGGGGTGATGGCTCAGCAACAGGATGGGAGACACTTCACCTACAAGTGTCTGGTTTCAGCCTGACACCCCGGGGACACCCGGCCCGCCAGTCCGCGGACTTGCGTACGACAAGCTGGGGGATGTCTCAGCCCCGTTGTGAAAGGGTTGGCTTTTTGGGCCGTGCAAAATGCCCTCCTGATTCTGCACGAGCCAACACCTGGGCTGTTTGGAGGACGAGCTGCTCCCAAGCTCTCTCCTTCAAGAGGACAAACGATGCTGTGTTTTGCACAGCGTGGGAGAGCCGAGAGGGCCTTCAGGGTTCAAACTGCATTGTTAGCTCCCACGTATTTCAGTGGGCAAACTGGGAAAAGCAAATGTCAAGTAAAAGAAAAATAATGGGAGATATAAGAAATAGGGAACTCAGCCCCAAACAGGTTGGATACTGATTGTAGGGAGACGATCTGGGACTGGCTCTTAAGTGCTACTTTTAGTTTCATGAATAAGTGCCTGGAGCATGAATAATAAAGACTTCCAGCAGCCCCAAGTGGCATAGATTAAAGCCTGGCTAATTGGTAGATCCCAAAATACCATTGCAAATAGCAGTTGTTAGAGTTTGATCCTGATTGTGAGCCCAAGAAATCCCTAGCTGCCTTCAGGGCTGGAGGAGGTGTAGCTCACTGAGAACTTCACTGGAAATGCTTGGTTTGCTTTCGCCTCCTTGGGGCCTGGCCCAGCTTTCAGAGCTACAATCCCTTGCATATCGAAGCTCTGCCGTCTGCCCCCGTGGCCAGAGCTAGGCACCGGCAAGCTGCAGTTGGCCGGGTTGTCCTGGGCTGCCGGGTCGACATTGGGAGCGGGTGAGCCGGGGTGCGCAGGTAGGCGGGGGAGCAGGAGACATTCCTGCCTGGCCAGTCCGTGCTCATTCTTTAACGCCCTGCCTGGCTGATCCCTCCTTGCTCCGTAAGGCAATAGATACATCCATCGACCTGCCGTGGGCACGGCCCTGCAGCTTCAAAGGCTGGGTGCGGTTACAGGCTCGTTCGCCATCGATCCCCCTGAGGTTAAACCAGATGACCCTTGAGAATGCTTCCAGCACGGGCATCAAAACCAGACTTAAGGTTTCCTAAAAGGTCTTTAAATGCTGAGCATTTCTTTATCCGCCTTGGTTCTCTGGGTGAATCTCTTTTTATTAGGTCAACTCAAAGAGTTGGAAAAAATTCTTGTTTGCAAGCTTTCGCGTACAAACATCCTGCTTCCTGAAAGTTTGCAAAGAAGAATTTGTCTAACTGTTTGAGTTGGTCTAATAAAAGACATCGGATTTACCCAAAGAACCTTGTCTGTGTCCTTTGATGACCACGGCTACAACCAATACCCCTTCATTGACCTGGGTGGGTTTTTGGGTTGCTGTTGACCCTGAACCCTAACCATAGGACACCAGGACCTAATCCTTTGGTACGGGTAGGGTGGGCTTTCAAAAATTCAGCAGCCCTGGAAGGAACTTTGGTTTGAACCTGGTCTGGGCTGTTCAGTGTGGACAGGATGCAACCCTGCTGGGTTTGGTTGGGAAATTCAAAGTCAAACCAGTTTCTGATTGGGCCTCCGGCAAAAGCTGCCTGAGTGTCGGGCGCTAGAGAAGCCCCACCTGCATCATCCCAGCCAAGGCTTGGTCTAGTTGGGTCTTCAACACCTCCAAGGATGGAGATTTCACCTCTCTGGGTAACCTGTTTGTGTTTTTTACTACCCTCTTCATGAGAAAGTTTTCCCTAATATCCAACCTCAACTTCCCTAGCTGCAACTTGAGCCCATTGCTTCTCACTCAGGCTGGCGTCTTACGGGTTATGTAGCTTTAGCAAAAAAAAGGCAAACTTAATTCCTGGGAGGACCAGCACAGCAGCTGGATCTTTCATTTAATGATACTGTCTCCAGGCAACACCCAGCTTGGATAAATTTAACAGGCTGTGATCCAAACGGTGTATATGCTTAATGGTTTATTACGGCACCATCCACAAAAGTGTAAGAACAAAGAGACTAGTCTGAGATTTACAAAAGGTCACAAAACACACGAAATAAAACCAACACAACATTTCAAATCCACGAGGGGAGCAACATAAGGCCCCCACGTTGCCCTGTGGAAGGAACTACGTGCTAAACACAGCAGCTGAGTTACCTTAGAGCAAACCTGGTGCGGCAGCGATAAGGGCTGAAAGCAGAAAGTGATGCTGTACAATACGATCTCAGTCCACGACTCGGAAAATATATTTCATCTACAGTTCCTGCAGCATTGAAGGAAAGTGCAATGCACAGAGACGAAGCACTCCGGGAGGGTGGGCGGAGCAGGAGTGGTGGGGGGCACGTTTGGTCCACAAGAAACTGGGTGGGGTGTTTTTAAGCCTCCTACCGTTTGGGGCAAGCTTGGTCTGCCAACCGGTGGGCACCAGCGTGATGTGCCAGGCGGCGAGGCGTGTGTGCATGTGTATATCACCACAACAAAGTGCATGTCTACATGTGCTTTTACATGCGTCTAAACTTAATGCGCATTAGTCTAATGTGCATTAAGGTGATTTAGACGCACGTCTACACGTGCACGTGCTAATGCACATTAACGCAAGTGTGCGGACTGACTTTGGACGAAATTATTCCCAAGTCAATGGACACATACCACATGAATGCGCATTAGTGCATCTACACATTTGCTAATGCGATTTAGCTATTAGCGCATATATTTGATACCTGCTTTATGCCATTTTAAGGCACATTAAGGGCGCACGCATGTAGACATGTGCTCCTAATGCACCTTAAATCAGGCTAACGCACATTAAATGTTCACGTGTAGACACACCCAAAGACTCCAATTGAGATGGTCCTGGCCAACAGGGAGCCCCACTCCCACCCAATACTGAGCCACTCGGGTTAATGCTGAGTGTCTCTCAGCTGGAAGATGCTTTCTGCCTATCTCATGACTCCCCCAGTGCAGAGTCTCCGTCCCATGCCTTGCAGAAGTATTGCCCAGAGGCCTAAGTGTGGTCTCTTGCCTTTGGAGTGCAACAGTCCTCCCATAGTGCTCAGCGAAGTCACTCACTCCAGACACTGGTGCTCATCATGACTCTACATTTCCCAGTTGCTCCCTGCCCTGTTCCCAGTTGCTCCTTGTCTCTTCCCCTCTCCCTGAGCATGCATGCAAGAAGGGCGGGGGAAACGGGTGTCCGGAGCAGACCTGGTAGAGTTAGAGGTAGGCAACACATTTTTCCACAGTGCTTCTCATCCTGGCCACCCCCCTGCCCCCACTTTCAAGCAGATGGCTATTGGTAGCAGCCAGTAACACTGATAATTAGGGTTGCCCTGAGCCAGTACAAACACAGTCCCATGAACCAGAAGGAATCAAAGTCATGGCTTGTCGGATCCTGTCTCAGCCAACTAGTGCAAGTCAGTCACAGTCACATGGAGAGGTATGTTCCTCACTGCCGGCCCAGTAAAACACCGGCATCTGAACCCAAATGGAGATTTCGGACCCTAATGAGAACCAAGGCAGGATTGCTGCCTCCTGCAGCTGCTAATCCGTGCCCCTTCCTGAGCCACGTGTGTTCACCGATGGCAGATCCCTGTGTCGGGTACCAGTGGGAATGGCATAGGACACCGGCTGGCGACCTTCTCAGACCATGGGCAGGAAATGGCGCAGCTCATCTAAAGAAAGTGGGCGCCAGGACCCAACTGCTACAGCCTGGAAGGAGACCCTGGAAAGCCCCCATTCCCACAAAAGCTCCCCACTACCAAAACCCCAGGTCCATGAGCCAGATCCAACAGCCAGATCCTGTCCGTGGGCTGTAGGTCGCTGATCCCCGGTGTAGGGAAATCTCCTGCAAAAGCAATGATCCCTCTGGTGTTATCAGGCCTTTAGCTCATGGGACATTTATGCCAAGTGCTGAACACCGAGCAGCAAACAGGAGACTTCCAGCTATGTATCAGGGGCTCAATGATGAGCTACTATCTCAAGGATCAGTCCATACCCTACTGGCAGACTGGACACTGCAGGAACACACGTGCATCGTTTCCATCCACCCCCAGCCTGGTCATCTCCCTCTCAAGGGGCACGTGTTGTTCTGAGTGACACAGAAACCAAGAGATGCACAAACAGCGGTGCCTAGAGCAAGCACCCTCGCCTGCTACACGCTCAGGCGAGACCATCTTTGAAGATGCACCCATGTCAACACGTGACCTCAAGTCACGCACAGGGGCAGACATATGAGCTTGCAGGCAAAGCAAGCCGGGCAGAACCACAGGGGGGGGTTTTCTCATCAGTCATCGGAGGCTACAGAGGTGGATTTTCTCAAGCATGGTAGCATGCATCGCATTAGATGCACAACAGCCTGGGGATTAAGGGGAGCTAAAGGCATGCGCTGATGTAGCTGCTCAGTCCCTGGTATGCTACAGGGAGCTTTGCTATGAAAATACCTAAGAGAACCGAGTCACAACAGAGCTGCATGTGCTGCCATGGTGTATGGTCCCAAAAACCTACAAACTGCAGCGCTGAACACCATTAAAACATTGCCATCCTGTTATTTAAAACGGCAGCCGGGCAGGATGAAGACTTGAATGGGCCAGACGGCCTTAAAGGAGTGAAACAGGTTTGCAAAGCAAAAAAGTTTCAGCCAAGGCTTCCTTGATCTTTGCTGAATTCCAGCTCCCGGCCAGATCTTCCTTTCTATCCTGGGTTTGCATCTGCTCCTTCACATCCCTTTCGGCTGTGTGGCTTCCTCCGGTCCCACCGCTGCAGTCCAAAGCCGGTGTGATCACAAGAGCTGCCAGGGCACCATCTAGTGATGAAAGACCTGCAGTGCCCTGTTGAAGGGGGATCCGGGCAGTAGGACACACTGACTGGTATTAATTCACATCCGGGTTATGTTCAGCTAAGAATTACCCAGAACGCCGTCAAAAACTAAAAACCAGAGTTAGACATGGATGGATAGAAGAGGGGGTAATAAAACAGCTCTCTCAAGAGAGAAAAGCTTTGGGATCTTGGACGTTGTTAACCTGCATGGGGCAAAACAGGCTAGAAATGTAGAAAGGTTTGATGGCATTGCAGAATCACCACCAGGCTGTATTCCTTGTCAAACTTCTCTAAAAAAAATTTAAAATCCCTCAGTGTTCATTAACTCAGTTTTCCATAAAACCTTTTAAAAAGACAAGCGGACAAAACGCAGCAAGGAAAACAGCAAGTGCTCCGGTCCCTTGGAGGGACCCTGCAAGCAGCTCTGTTTTAACACCTCATGACCCTGTAACAAAGCCCTTGGCCGTCACATCCCTTCACCCTTATTCAGTGGCAAGCACCACTTCTTCACCCCCTGCGCCAGACGATCATCAGAGTCAATGGGACACAGTGCCCAGGTGATTCCTCAAGAGCTGGGAACAAGGGGCAGGGGGAAGTGGGAAAACAAAGCAGGTCCTACCAGACAGCCATGAGAGCCAGTTTTACCCCGCTCCTGATCAGGGATGCTCTTGAGCGAGGCTGCATCTCAGCCTCCTTCCAGCACTAAGGGTCATGGGATCAGGTCTGCTGAGGCCCACCTAATGGCTGATGCTAACGAAGGCTGCTATAGGTAGGGGTTCCTACCAGTTTTCTGACACGCGAGGGTGACTTTGGCACAGACTATGGAAGGTGCAGGCAGAGGCAGGGGTCGGGCCGATGCATTGGAAAGAAATCCTTGCGGGCGCTCACATGCATCAGAGTTCGGTCCCGGATTTGAATCCGTGGATGATTCAGGCTATGAAAACACAGCCTAGAAAAGTGCAAATGTGGCGGCAGCGCTGGGTGCTGGGGGAGGCAGCGGGATGAGGCAGGGCCTGCAGGGATTAAAAATGGAGGTGTAGGTTTGCAAGGCATGGGCAAGGGCAGCTCTCATTCCAGCGCCCACTCCGCCAGCCACTGCTCGCACTTGGCTTGCTGCTCCTCTGTCCCCGGGCTCTGGGCTGGGCTCAGCCTCTCCTCTCCTCCATCCCTCAGCACGGCTTCCTGGCTCCTCTCCTCATCCCCTGCCTGGCTGGCCTTGTCCTTCAGCTCCTGGATCACCTCGTCCAGCTGGTGCACGATGCGGTGAGGGACCCAATGGCTGTCCATGGTGGTGACGAAGGGGTCGGGCGCGCAGACCTCAACAAGCTCCTGCTCGGTGGGGATGCGCAGGTAGTAGGCGTGTAGCATCATCCTGTACGGGCTGCCGTCCTTCTTGAAGCTGTAGGTGAAGTCTCCCACGACGGCGTGCCCGATGGCGCTGCAGTGAACCCGGAGCTGGTGCGTCCGCCCTAAGGGGAAAAGGGGAACGAGAGTATAAAGCAGGCCAGTTGCAAAAACTGATATTCGACCCTTGTTTGAGGCTCCTTATGCAGGGCCTTCATCATTTCCTAAGTCCCAGTGAGCTCGTGCTCCCGGTGCAGACCTGAAGTGCGGCTACGGGCCCGAGCCACAAAAGGAAAGTCTGATCCCGTGATCCATCTAGTGCAGGTCTCTCTAGCTTGCCCCACAAAGACTTTCCTTTCGAGTTGGAGCCATAAGACCCACCTGGCCTGGCTGTCAGTCAGCAGAACGGCTCTATATATGAAACACATTAAAGGCCCTGGCATAAGTGCTTCCTTCTTATCTGCGCCCCTCGTTATAGAAAGGGAGGGACTGTATGTCGTTGCTGTAAACATGTAACGGAAAACAGGGGCAACTCTGGGTGACCTTGTACAACGGCAGGCTTGCAAGGCCAGGTCACATCGTTTTGTTGATTTAAACAGGAAAAGAATTTGGCACAAAGTAATTGAAACCCATTACCCTAAGGAAGGGCACCCACTGTCAAGAGTCGAAACTTAACTGAGAATGGGTAACCTGATGACCAATAAACTGATGACCCTGGCCTAGTTAAACGGTTATTCAACAGTGAATGGGGAAACTCCATATAATTTCTTCACTTAGCTGGAGAGGGAGGGGAGCCTTCAAGATCAACCCTTTTCATCAAATCAAATTGTTGATATATGCAAGTCATTAAGGGCTGTCCGTCTATGATTGTAACCTGGGGAGGACTTGGGAAAATGAAAGACATGAGCACTAAGAACTCAACAGATCCTGGGGTCCAGCCTACACTTAACCCCATCCCCAGGGGGGAATATATTTTTGCAATCCCACTGCATGATCTGGATACCAGTCATGTTCACTTTCCAAAGATGTGATTATCTTAAGAAGAGGCAGGTGTGCTCTCACTCGATTCCTGGGCTGCATCCAACGCAACACACTCCGTTTGCCCTACACCATGGATAGAGGGCTTGCCTTCACGTTAAGATTTCACAGCCTGGCTCCTGGCATCATACAAACGGGCCCAGGCTAAGGTTGCTCCAGGCCTCTACCTGTCAGTGGCTGCAGCAGCACTTTGGTCACTGGGTCACCACTGTACATCCCATGCTCGAGAACAACGAGCTCGGACTGGCAAGGCTTCGGGTTTTCACAGCCTGCAATGAGAGACAGGACGGGAATTCAGTTATTTTGATGATGGCTTCCAGTCCGGCAGCACAGACGATCGTAAGGACAGGGTAAGGAAAGGACCCAGGAGATGGCTCACCCGTCGTCCCTTCGATGCACATCATGTGGGTCAGGCCTTCTGTCGTGTTCTTCCCTATGGCGTAACGGATCGTCGCCCTGCTTTCACTCACGTGGCCCCTGACCTGCGGTGGAGAGAAGACAGCGTCACATCAGGGGGACACGCTAACCTCCGAGAGTCAGCCAGAAACCCCTCCAGGTCGCTCAAAATAAAACAAAACCCAGCCACACGATGTAATTTCATACATGTCTTAGCACCTGTTGCCAACTTCGATGGAAGCCCAATTACACCGTTAATATGACACCTTTTGTCTACGGGGCTCATGCAAGGAAAGCCCAGCCTCCAAGCAGCACTGGAGGTAACTAACTCCAGCATCTCAAGCACTGCATCTAGGACCAAGGAAACTAGCACGTGCCGCTCCTTGAATCAGCTGGACGGCAACAGCTTTTTGGCCACGAGACAAATCGGTTCTGTCTGAGAGATGACATCAAGCCATGCTGACTTCATGCGTGCTCGTTTCCTCCTGCAGGGTGGAGCGTGTTGTGGGAATAAACATCATTTGTATGCAAGTGGAGCTGCTTGCAGCTGTGAATTAATTGGCTGTGGATTGCATATGGCTCATATGCACAAGCCCCCACTGAAAACAAGGGGATCACATTAGCTAGTGGGAAGGATTTCCTTGCTCAGCTGGGAAAAGCCTCGGCATGGAAACTTTCCTTAGAGAGTAGCCCTAGAGCAGATCTCTTGTTTGCAAACCACTTCTTTAGACCCACATGTGGAAGCATGGGAAATGACATGCATTTGTCCCCAACCATGAAGAAGAGGGAATCCTGCTATATTCAGCAGCAAAGGCCAAACGCAAGAGACTTGGGGCATATTTATCCTGCCTGAGAAACAGCCCCAATTGCATTTATCAGTCAGAGATTAAAAACTCCAACTCATGGAGCAGATGATGCATCTCCTGGGCACAGGTGGTCCTGGGACAGGAGGTGAATGCAGACAGGTCACAGGAAGCCATCATGATCTGGAGCCTCATAGCTGAGTGTGGAGGGCCTGTCTTGTTGGTGGCTCCTTCCTTCGCGTGCAACAGATCTGGCCGAGTTTATGGCTCTAGCCCACTCAGATGTGTGACTAGAGAGCCAAGGTGAAGGCTGAGATGCATTTTCCTCTGTGCTCAGGGTGGTGGTGAGAGACTGGGAGACGGATGAGGTCTCTAGGCCTCTCTGTGAGCAGAACAAATCATGACAGAGTTACAGAGAGAAAGCACAACCATTTTCACTCTCCAGTGCACCTGAGCTGGTGCACAGTGAGCCATTGCCTTGGGGCCATGTTCTGACTTGCAAGACCCGGCACTAACCACTGCATTAGCTTCTCCCTTCCAGTACCCTTAGTCCAGAAATGCTCTCAGCAGAGCTTCCCAAGCTCCTAGGAGGAAGGCTCAGAGAAATCTGGCCCCCAGAAAGCGTCAGGAAGTGGAAGGAGCCAAGTGTGAAAATCCTGTCCGCAGCGTCGTCCACCTCTCCAGTGCTAGCTGGACCTTCTGGTTGACTTCAAGCCATGAAGAGCTCCTCCAGGCTGCGGGTGAGGAGCTGTGAACCAGACGCACGTTCCCCATCCCACATGGCGCCCCTCACAGTCAATAGGGTGGAGAACTAACAATAGGCCTAAGTCCTCTGGGCCATAACATCACCCTTGAAAGGGCAGGATCCAGTTAAAGACCAGGTAGGATGCTACGGCCATGGGCAAGCATACGATGAAGAGGGCGTGCTTACCAGGGCGAGGTAGGCCTTGGTCACCATCCGCTCCTTAAAGCACTTGTAGGCACTCCCAGCCGCCGCTTTGTTGAGGGCTACACAGAGCGCGCCGCTGGTGGAGAAGTCCAGCTGGTGGCAAAACCTGGGAGAGACCAGAAAGCAGAAGGAGGTCACATTTCCATTAACCCCATTAAAAACCACAGCGTGCTCTCTGGTCTGTGCAAAAGGAGCCCAGCGTAATGCACTCTGGAAGCGCGGCCCGCGGACGTCTTTGAGATCCCCGTGCTACAAAGCGTCCCCGCCAGCAGAGACCTGGCATCGGGCTGGGTTTCGTGCCAAGCCGGGGCAAGCTCCGACAACTTGCGGAGGAGGTCTGTAGAGCCCTGACGATGCAAAGCTTCGTGTAAATGTTCACTAGTATTGTGTTGGTCCCCTCTAAAGGGAACAGTGTTCATTCAGATTTTTTTTTTAAACTGGAACAGGTTCAAGCCATCCCAGTTGCTGGTACAGCCCTCTTGAAATGGGCTGACTTGTCATTTTAGGTGTTTCTCACTCTCAGTTAGGTTTTCCTGATGCTTCTGTCTCTGCAGCAAGCTGCTCCAGGCACACAGATACTTCACACTTGCTACAAGTCCTACAGACCCCAGGTCCCTGCCCCCTGCGGCTGACTGAGACCCACTGTCTGGCTACGATGGAGCCAGCAGTTTGCCCTGGGTTTCAGGAGCAA